TAGCATTTGTATTGTTTAGACTTTACGGAGAGGTTCCCGAGGTGATTAGGAGCAACTTTTTCCTTTGCGAAATTTTTCTCTGAGGCTCCGTTCACGAGTTATTAAGGAAACACGCGGACTAATCGGAGCGCCAGTGCGGCCAGCGCTTCGCCCTCGCGGCCAGTGCTCCGCCCTCGCGGCCAATGCCTCGTCGCGCCGGCCGTCTGACGCGGCGAGGGCGGAGCGCTGGTCGCACTCGCGCTCCGATTAGTCAACGTTTTTCGTTAATAACTCGTAAACGGAGTCGCGGATCGCATTTTCGCAAAGAAAAAAGTTGCTCCAAATCACGTCGCGAACCCGCTTGTACAATAATTTTTGGACTAATAATAATTTCTATGATTATTTTAAGCTGTTTGTATCGTATAAACGCTGTTATAATATAACAACACTGTCGTTCGATCTTTGCATATCTATGGCGTACGCGAATCTTAAAAGTGCAAGAAATAAATTAGCAACGTCTAACAGCATCTTCGTGTTATTATTAAACATTCCCGTTATTTCTGAACGCTCGAATTACAGTTACATATTATTGAGTGGCATTATGTGTATATATTGAATGGCGTAACATATATGACGAAAATATAAGATGATAATCACGAGAAAAATCACCAAGAAAATTAGGACGGAAATCGCGACGTGATCTCAAGATACTCGACATATTTGCAAAACTCGCCACGTCGTGCTACCTGACTCGGCCGGAAAAGTTGCTGTCCTAAGAGTTAATAATTGTAGCACACGGAAAGAATCGTTTAACCGAACCTGATGATGGAAGAGGGGTGGGTATTAAGTAACGCACAAATACTTTCTGCGCCGATAAGTGGTGCTTGTAAGAAATAAAAATTTTATTTCAATAGTGTCCATCTCTGGAAAAGAATAAGACAAAAAAGAAATATACAAATCCTTGCATCATTTAAAAATCGCACAATATTGTTGCGATCACTCCTTTTATTTACATACAATAAAGAATATAAACTATAATACAACACAACTCAATACAATTATATTTCAGATCTTCCAACTTGAAATGTTGCTCGTTCGACGGTCCGATCTCGACTCTTCGACTGTCTGTTGTTAGCACTCTCCGATTGACTGTTGCTACCATTCTTCGATTGCTGTTGCTACCACACTTCGATTGTCTGTTGCTAGCACTCTTCGATTGTCTGTTGCTACCACTCTTCGATTATCTGTTGGAACAATTCTTCCGTTACAACACCTATCTTCTATTGCTTCTTAAGGAGTTGTTCACAGCAGTGCAGTTTCACATTACACTCGACTCGATTGGGAGAAATCGCCGTAACAATATATTTTTGTAGTTTCAGCATTCTGCTAGGGATGGCGCCACCAGTTCTTGGCGAGCAGTTACAGAGTTCTTCTACGGATGGTATCACCAGTTCTCGGCGAATAGTTTCGCTGTTCTGCCACGGATGGCGCCACCAATTCTTGGCGAGTAGTTTCAGCGTTCTGCCACGGATGTCAATGTTCTACAGAGTTCTATTTTTTTCCAAAAGAGGCACTATCATCGCCTGCATTCATACACAACGCAGGATCGCCTAAACACCAATTAATGGACATCTCTATACATATACAGTTAACGTTGAACAGCGGAAACAGATTGTACGCATAGTTGTATATGTACTTATCTATAGTAAATACCTATAGGTACGTAAATGTGCAAGGTGTGCATAGATAACCTTATTTTCCGACTGTGACATGTCGCTCACTCAAATATAAACAGCAAATAATAATTCGGTTCTCATCGCATTTATAATTATAAAAAGAATTACATATCAAGTAGAAGCAAAGCTGTGACTAAATCCAGCGTGCGGTGCAGTGTTCGTTTAACATTTCATCAAGGTAGATACTTGTTCCTAAAAACTCTAATTTTCGAAACAACTTTTCGTATTACAGATCAATGTACTGCTCGAAGGTCTCTCATACACGGAAAATGTCAATTATCGGTTTCGATCGATGCCACGACGAACAACGCAAACGCCGTATCGAATGTCGCGGTTAAGGCTCACGGTTTCTCCAAAAATGTTTTTCAGTTTCAATGGTGCCTCATCTGTTTGAAATGTAATGGAAGGTTTTAATAACCATAGCAAATAAGAGAACAACAAGCAGCAAGGAAAGAAACTTTTGCATTCTTATGAACGGATACAACTTTCATCCATGGGGAGACTAAGGAACAAATACAGAATCCAAGCATGAGAATCGAAACAGCCAGCCTGTAAGCATGACCAGATCGATATGGTAATGTTGGTTGTTCGATCATTTTGTAAGCCTTCCTTTCTTTGAGTGTCAACATTTTCTTATTCTAGAAGGAACGAAGACTATATATTGTAACATGATACGTCCCTTTTTGGAAGAAGATGCCTGGTGTTACTGGGTTGTATCTGTCGGAGCTTTATTATCCTTTCTAGGGTTCATTGCTGCGTGTATTTGCAGCTGTCGGCGTAGTGAGACAAAGTAATTATACCGTTAGATATATATCTTGAATGGATTGAATAAATGTTAATTTTGAACAGAAACGAATTTCTCGGACTGGCTGGTATGGTAACGTTGAATAGTGCGGAGAACGAGAGTTTTGCTGGAATCCCGAACGATGTCTCCACACGTGCTACTAGCCAGGATACTGCCGACATTGGAAGAAGGTAAAAAGCTTTCTTTTTTTCTCCTCTTATTTGTTGAAATACTGTGTAAAATCGTATTCCATTAAACATAGATACGGTTTTAATCAATTCGATTTTACAGGACGATTGGCGCGAATAGAAGTCTTCCAGATATACCAAAGGACAAGAGACACGATGACACGGCCGAATCGGTGTCACAAGATATTTACGAAATTACGGAAACGACTGCCGACAATTCGGAGTTGTACGCCACAGTACAGGGCGCAGGTATCACAATTTTCTTCGGTATTGATCTGCATGGAACTGGAAAGAATATTTTTATGTAATTCTATATCGTGGCTAGCAATCGGTTGTTGTAACGAAGAATGCAATCGCATCGGTATAATGTTTCATCATTGGATATAGGTCTCACGGTAGAAGTGTCCGAACACGAGATACAACAAGTGAATCAACAAAACTCTTCGATCCGAAAGAACTCAACTCGTCGGTACTCGAGATTCGTGTCCGTCGCATCTGACAATGGTACGAACGAAGGTATGAATAGGATCGGTTCTGACCGTGGCTATTATCCTTCTAAGCGCATATTTTATCGATTCCAGTCGAGCATCCGTACGCTCAACTTAAAGATGTGCAGAAGACCGAGGCTAATCAAGGCTCGAGTAGGTAAGAACATTCGAAGACATCGTTGGAAAACGCTTGTGTAGGTGTATTGAGTCGACGTGTCATTTAAATGGTTGCGCATGTTTCAGGGACAATGTTTGGTCTACGATCGACACCAGAATACCATCCGCGTCCACGAGTCAAGATGGTGAAAAGAATCCGGTTGCACCGCCAAGAACTCGTCGATCGTCATCTCACAATTCCCTGCTTTCCGACGACATCGCTTCTCGCGGTGGCGAGATTCAAGCAGCGAACGCGATCTCGGGTGGAGTGCAAGCGAATCAAGAGTTACCGTACATGACACCACCGCTGTTAATGCTATTGCCACCGTCGCAGTCACAGTCACAGTCACAGTCGCAGTCGCAGTCGCAACCACAATTGGAGACACCGTCGCAATCCCAATTATTACAGTTACCGCAGCAACCACAATCGCAACCCCAATCGCAGTCACAATCGCAGACACAGTCGCAGTCGCAGCAAACGCAACTGTCACGGTCTTCTCAACCGCAACCAACAAGTCCCCAACAACACTTTAGCGGGGATTCTCAAGACTCGAGTAAGTCATCGGTGCATGAAAAACGTAGCGTGGCACATGAACGATTAACGAGAACAGAATGGTTCGATTTGCTTGGTCTTATAGAAGGATACACCAGTATAAGCGTGAGAGAGCCTCTGGCCAATATAATTGCTCAGACGAAGACGACTTGTCGCCAAAACCAATCCGGGCGACTGCTGACTGATCCTCACTACGCGACCGTGTCGGATGACTCCGGTGAGCCTAGTGTTCATTTGTTTCGAGTTCACGCGAACATTTTGAGCACATAATTTTTTCCGCAGACGAAATGTACGCTGCGATCGACGAACAAGACAAGGTATATACCAGCGGTAGCGAAACATATGCTCAGATTCAACCGACAACGACGGAAACCCAGCGAGCCATTCAGACCGAACAGGCGTCGTTTCCGATGATGTCGCGAGCTCCGTCTCGGTCGGACGAAGCGCAGTCTGCTGCACCCCAACCTCCGAGCGTGGACAGTTTGCGTCACGTGGCGCACGCACACTCTAGACAAGGTAAGTCGGTTGTATGTGACATATTCCATATTATACACACATTGAATATCAATGTATAGATACAACTAGAACTGATTCGGTCATTGATCGTAGCTTCGTCCTCGAGCGCAAACAGCTCGATCGTGAACCCTGGATCACCGAAGCCGGAGAAACGTCAAGCCAATTCTCCGTTACCGCCTCCGCCGGAAGGAATAACGGACATGTACGCGTCGATCGACAAGAGAGCCAGCAAAACCGACGACCGATCGAAATCGATTCTGTCCAACGGGAAGTCCTTGGAGGATATGTATGCTAAAGTTATGAAGAAGAAAAAGGAGGCTGCGGAGGAACAATCCGATCCGCATTTCAATACATACGGCGGTAGTTTGCATCACGAAAATATCGTCGGCTCTGTCGCGGGTACAGTTGCCAGGAAAACGAGCCTGGTCGAGACGAATCGAACTTCTTGGTCCAGCCACGAATCCGCGGAGACGCTAAGGAAGGAGCTCGATATCTCTGGCTGCACCTTCGCATCCAGTGTCCCGAGCGGAAGCATCGTTCGCGCGACCGACTCGGATGCGTCAAATTTGTTAAATGTTGTCGGCGATATCGTTAATGAAAATACGGCCTCTGGATCAGTCTCGGGATCTGGATCTGGATCTGGATCGGGATCGGGATCGGGATCGGCATCAGGATCGGGATCGGTCTCGGTCTCTGACTCGTACACGTCGAAGGATTCGCGATACAGTCACAGCAACGATTACGGCTACGAAGCGGTCGCCTCCGAACAATCGCTGAAGCGCGCGACGCGCGATCTGAACTACGAGCCGCTTCGGGCGCGATTGGATTCGAGTTCCCCAGCAGATACCGGTGCTTCGTCTGCTCGACACGCGTCTCGCGACGATTTGCTGACAAATTACACCGCGGTACCTTTGATGAAACACCGGCAGGCCAGCAACGCAAGCAGCGAAGATCCTGGCTACGAGAAGGTCAGGTTACGGAGAAGAATCGATGCGGACCACGACACCGACTCGGAGCCGAATTACGAAAGTATGCCGCACGATTCGGGCGAGCCGAATTATGCGTCGGTTTGTCGACCAGGAGACAGCGACACCGATCCCAACTACGAGTCCGTCAATCACGGTGATCCGAATTACGAGAGCGTGAAATACATGAGCGTCGCTCGATCTGTCGCCGATGATCCGCCCTACGAACAAGTCCACGGCTTCAAGTCCGATCCGAATCCGGACGGATACGAACAGGTCAAGAAATATTTGTACAGCGCGGACTACGAAAGGGTACAACTGAATCGATCCATGGAACCGATCGGGAACGGAGACACCGACGACGAACAATACGTCCAAGTCTAACTGAAACGCTAATTTAAACGCCAATCATATCTCGCCATTCTCGATATTCTTCTTTCACGTTTTGCGGTCCGCCGCTGCTTTCATCTATATTTTGAAGCAGCGCAGCAATTTCAATGCAACGCGATGCAAATGCTGACGAAAACATCTTGCTATAATACTATTTATACGATATGTATGCCTGATCTGAGCATGCACGTACGCGTACGTCTTGTACCCGCACTTGTAATCCGTTTTATTAATCGGCTATTTCTACTTCTATACATTTTAGTACACCGCGTTAGCTTCCGCGCATTCTACTCGCCGCATACTCGACCCGCGTTTCGTACTGTATTATAGTACATGTATAATAAATAACGCGCACTGCTTCGCTCGCAACACGGGACAAGAATTAATCAAGACGCACGAGCGAGATCTTATTTATTCGATCGAACGCGGTATTTGTTTGTTGGAATTTGGTTAAAAGTCGACGCACGCTGACCACTTTTCTCTCACTTTCGAGCTAGATAGTGCTAGAAACTTTTCGCCGCGTTCATCATCTAGATGACAGCGATACGACTAATGCGGTACAACTATCGGCTAAAGTGGTTGACAAGTGACCCGTGTACGTTCTGCGTTGCTCCTTTACCACCTTATAGCCCTCTTTCATTTATACTACCTTTGCCTTCTCACTTTCCGTTGCTTCCTTACGCTTTCTCAAGTAAAGCGTGACTTTGCTCGAGTTTCTTATGTATATACTATACTATGTACGTATGCGTACCTGTTCGATTTTTTGTATAGTTGCTCGACGATCGATTAAACGAACCCCAATGACGGGCCTGTCGAAGCGGTACGCGCGACGATGTGATGCGATGTGTGGTGATAGCGCAAGGGTCAAAAAATCTTTGTATCTGTATATCTGTACACCCGCGGGGTACACGAGAAACACGTAAACCTCTCTCAAATAGCCGTCATATTTTTCTCCAATAGGATCGACTTAAAAGGACATGAGGAGAATTTTACAACGAAACATGCTTACTAACCGCAATCATTTGTATTCTTTTATATCCCATTGTAAAATAAAACGTTTTGTATACACAGTAAAGAATATCGTTTAGAATCGAATATCGTCTCTTTCTTTTTCTTTTTCCTGAATGTGTTCTAGCTTCGATTTTGCTCGCCCGAAGCAGGACACAGATTCGCAATAGTCTCTGTGTCAGGTTTATCCGCGTCAGCGAACATGTTGTCTCGTCTTTATCGACTTTTTACAACTCCGTTGTCCCGATGCAACCGTTACACACGGTTAACCGGAAAATATGAAAATATCGTATTGTTGTGGTCGTAGACAGATTCATGGTCGATGGACTGATCGATGAAAATGGAAAGAAAATTCATCGTATTGCAGATTATTTCCCGCTTTTTCTTCCTTTGCACTCTCTCTCTCACTCTCTTCCTCTCTCTCTCTCTCTCTCTCTCTCTCTCNGAGTCCGTCAATCACGGTGATCCGAATTACGAGAGCGTGAAATACATGAGCGTCGCTCGATCTGTCGCCGATGATCCGCCCTACGAACAAGTCCACGGCTTCAAGTCCGATCCGAATCCGGACGGATACGAACAGGTCAAGAAATATTTGTACAGCGCGGACTACGAAAGGGTACAACTGAATCGATCCATGGAACCGATCGGGAACGGAGACACCGACGACGAACAATACGTCCAAGTCTAACTGAAACGCTAATTTAAACGCCAATCATATCTCGCCATTCTCGATATTCTTCTTTCACGTTTTGCGGTCCGCCGCTGCTTTCATCTATATTTTGAAGCAGCGCAGCAATTTCAATGCAACGCGATGCAAATGCTGACGAAAACATCTTGCTATAATACTATTTATACGATATGTATGCCTGATCTGAGCATGCACGTACGCGTACGTCTTGTACCCGCACTTGTAATCCGTTTTATTAATCGGCTATTTCTACTTCTATACATTTTAGTACACCGCGTTAGCTTCCGCGCATTCTACTCGCCGCATACTCGACCCGCGTTTCGTACTGTATTATAGTACATGTATAATAAATAACGCGCACTGCTTCGCTCGCAACACGGGACAAGAATTAATCAAGACGCACGAGCGAGATCTTATTTATTCGATCGAACGCGGTATTTGTTTGTTGGAATTTGGTTAAAAGTCGACGCACGCTGACCACTTTTCTCTCACTTTCGAGCTAGATAGTGCTAGAAACTTTTCGCCGCGTTCATCATCTAGATGACAGCGATACGACTAATGCGGTACAACTATCGGCTAAAGTGGTTGACAAGTGACCCGTGTACGTTCTGCGTTGCTCCTTTACCACCTTATAGCCCTCTTTCATTTATACTACCTTTGCCTTCTCACTTTCCGTTGCTTCCTTACGCTTTCTCAAGTAAAGCGTGACTTTGCTCGAGTTTCTTATGTATATACTATACTATGTACGTATGCGTACCTGTTCGATTTTTTGTATAGTTGCTCGACGATCGATTAAACGAACCCCAATGACGGGCCTGTCGAAGCGGTACGCGCGACGATGTGATGCGATGTGTGGTGATAGCGCAAGGGTCAAAAAATCTTTGTATCTGTATATCTGTACACCCGCGGGGTACACGAGAAACACGTAAACCTCTCTCAAATAGCCGTCATATTTTTCTCCAATAGGATCGACTTAAAAGGACATGAGGAGAATTTTACAACGAAACATGCTTACTAACCGCAATCATTTGTATTCTTTTATATCCCATTGTAAAATAAAACGTTTTGTATACACAGTAAAGAATATCGTTTAGAATCGAATATCGTCTCTTTCTTTTTCTTTTTCCTGAATGTGTTCTAGCTTCGATTTTGCTCGCCCGAAGCAGGACACAGATTCGCAATAGTCTCTGTGTCAGGTTTATCCGCGTCAGCGAACATGTTGTCTCGTCTTTATCGACTTTTTACAACTCCGTTGTCCCGATGCAACCGTTACACACGGTTAACCGGAAAATATGAAAATATCGTATTGTTGTGGTCGTAGACAGATTCATGGTCGATGGACTGATCGATGAAAATGGAAAGAAAATTCATCGTATTGCAGATTATTTCCCGCTTTTTCTTCCTTTGCACTCTCTCTCTCACTCTCTTCCTCTCTCTCTCTCTCTCTCTCTCTCTCTCTCTCTCTCTCTCTCTCTCTCTCTCTCTCTCTCTCTCTCTCTTTCTGTTATAACGCCATCGAATAAAATACGATTACATCGTACTCCGCTTTTCTTTTCAAAAGTTAAGCTAATATTTCGTACACGTGCTTGACCGAGATCGTGTATCCCAAGCTATTTAATTGTGATTGTCGCCGATACGTATCGCGAGAACGCGCGAAAACGAACAACGGCTGGACCGAATCAAACCAAACAGAATCGGATCGGATCGAGTCGAATCGAATCGAAGCGCCAAGAAATCACGTGAGCAAATATTGTTCGCGCAACAGCGAATCGAATGAACTCGGTACGACGTAAAAATATATTTAGCATTCTTTTCGAGGAACGTTGCGGTCGCGAGTTATCCGCGACTAAATCGATTTTGCGGTCTTTATCAGGTCTGTTGTATCGATCGAGGACGTTGGCATTAATTGTATCTTGTCTGGGCGCGTATCTAGAACGTGACGTGATCATTTTGAAGGGGTCGCTGATTCTTTCGCAGAGACGTCTGTAAACGTTGTCGCGCTCCGTAACGCTCGGAGATCGCCACGACCGACGCGTATTTGCCCAGCACACGATGCTCGCTGGAATACACGTTTCCCGACGTTTCCGTTTGTGTCATACACCGCCGTTTTGGTTGCACGTCTCCTCGGCACACGTTTGCTCGGATTCAGATTTCGATTCCGCTTCGGACGCGGACGTGGACTCGAAATCGGAATTGGATCCGGTTCCGGAACCGGACGCGGTTTCAACCTTGCAGCCTCCAGTTTCGCCGTCGATTTCGGACACGCAACAGCAACAGCAATCGCAACCACTCGTCGGACTCGTCGATGCGTTCAATTGACAACTTGAATCTTGAAAATCGTTGTTCCGATCCTGCGGGTCTTGATACCGGTGACGATGACAAGGACCATGACGACGGTCGTCAAGATGTTGCTCACAATCCGGATGACGATGGTTATGATTATGGCTATGGCTATGGCTATGGCTATGGCTATGGCTATGGCTATGGCTACGGCTACGGCTATGGCTATGACTATGGCTGTGGTTGTGGCTAGAACTATCGCTATGGTTATGGCTGTGGTTGTGATTGTGGCTATGGTTATTGTTGTGACGAGAAGGCTGGTGATGGTGAAGATGCCGATGCAGATGATGATGCTGGTGATGGTGATGACGATAAAGGAGACTCTCCCGATGGTACGATCCGTGGATGGTGTCTACGCGTTGATGCAGGTCGTCTAGGTGAACCGTCTGAACTCGTCTCCTTAGTTTTCGATGATAAAAGAGACATACGATCAGTGCAACCAGTACCACGCCTGCAGCGTATCCCGCGACAACGCCGTAACTATCCGTCCATGCAACTTCTGTGTCACCTGAAACGCAATCGGTCCCCGTCAAACGCGTTCTCCAATCCTACTTCAATCCCATTCTCTCAACCACCCGCCCCCGGATAACTACTTCCCTTTTTCCCTGCCCCCCTTTCTGCCCATTTTCTGTCCTGCATCCCTCCCCCCTTGTCAACTAGTTGAGAATGATGTTAGCTTACTAGTCGTGTAAATTTCTAGCGTGCCACGAGACTCGGAACTCGTACCGCCTCGAGGTTCATGATCGCGTACAAATTCTCGCGGTCCTTACAGTATCTTCAAAATAACATTTTCCGGAAAATGATCCTACCATCATAATCGTCGACCCTCGACACTCGGGAAGACAGTAATGAAAGTTGGACGTTGTCGAATGCAAAGGAAGGTCTATAGAGTACAATGTGGGGAAGGGAACTAAACATAAGCCGAAAGACAGTTATAGAAACTACCGAGAGACTCAATAGTGAAAGAGAAAGAGAAAAGGGCTGGGAGAGTGGGGGGAGGGGGAGAGAGAGAGAGAGAGAGAGAGAATATCAGCGCGTAAAAATGAGTCGAAGAAAACGTTTACATGCCATACCTTCGTGTACGAATTATACTTGTATACGCATAAAAGGTATCGAGATTGCATCTGTCAGGATCCATGCACGTTAGCAGAAGATTCAATCGATAGAAATGAGAATAGATGAAGGAACTTTCGCCGATTCGATGCGCGTCAACGATTCTCGAAAATGTACAGATATTTTGGTTCGGTTCGTCGGGTCTCTGTTTCGTTGCTAGCCACTGCCTGTACGTTACTGATATATGTATGTACATTGTACATATGTATGTATACATACATATGTATATGTATAGACCGTTTCGCGGCGTTTAGCAACGATCGACTCAAGAAAGATGATCGATCCGGTTAGATGGCTCGTTCGAACTTAAATACGAAATACGAAATACGATACGTGTGCAATACTGTGAGTGAACTCACGTGACAGGGGAGATCATAGCATGCCGGATCGTCGGAAGCTTCGTGAAGGGCTCAGATGGCCACGAACGCAAAGCACAGAGAGAGAAGAAGCATGGCAGAGGCTCCAGCCGGTGCTGGGGACAACGGGGCTGATGCTGCACCTGCGACACCACACACCGTCGTTCATCCACGCGACCCTTTCATTCTTCCATCTCTATGAACAACTACTACATACCACTTACCTAGATAATTACATTTCTGTAAACATTTAATCTTCGAGTTTTATTACGACTTGGACCTGTGTTCGTCTTTCTTTCGATATTTATCGCGTATGGCTCTCTCTCTACAGTTTTCTCTGTTTTCTCGGATATTTCGGTGACGAGAACGCGCAGAATAATTCACAATTCACCCGCGTCGTACAAACAAGAATTTCATTTATTTACAAACCCGCGTCGTGTTCACTTCGATTCCATCCCATACCATACCCCCCATGCTCTATGTCTACACCATACCCCATCCTGTTCGGTCCGTCACATCCTCTCTCCGTTCGGTTCGATCTCGTTCTCGATCTCGTCCTCGTTCTATTCTATCGCGTCCTTCCTCTATTATCTCCATTACGACAGATCGATTCGCTCGCGTATACGTGTACGTACACATGCATATACATACGTAAGGGATCGGTTCTTCGAGGTATTAACGTACAAAAAAACCATACGTTTCGCAACTTTAGAACATGGCATCTATTCAACGATTCAAAGATATTACATATTCGTTAGATCCGGATTATATATATATGTATATATGTATGTATATATGTATTATATGTATGTACATATGTATACATGTATATGTATGCATATATGTATATACATATTCAATAATTAATTAGTTAATTAATTTATTGATTTCTTTATTTATTTACTTACTTAGTTACTTACTTACTGAATGATTGATTGATTGATTGATTGATTGATCGATCGATTTGTTTATTTATTTATAGTTATGTATGTGTGCGTCCGAGTGTAGGTAAATCAAAATTGTAAAACGACCAATAACGAGGTAAGGAAAGTGGAGGGTGACGTGGAGCCGAAAAAAGTAAAGGTGGAGGAGGAATAGAAGCAGGAGGAGACGACAAATACGAAATAGTGTACGAGTATAACGAGAAGAACGAGTATAAGGAAAAGAGGAACCGCACAACATAGAACGAGTTGTCTTCGATGTGTCTAGCGTTTACGAAACTTACAGTTTTCTTCGTCCGAGGTGTCGGCCGGGCCACAATTGTATATGTCATTGCATCGTAGCGATTCCGCGATACAGTATTTACTTTTACTGCACAAGAATTGGTTGTGACAGTCGGGATCCATGCTTACTTCGGTCCACGTTGCCTTAAATCCCAGCTGTCCAACAGCTTTATCGGCCAATATGAAGCTGAAAGAAAGGCCAAAGGGAAACACGAGACCGTCGTCAGACTATAATCTATGCTGTCGTACTATACTGTAGACTGTAGAAGACTGTAGTCTGTAGAGCGTGGAGAGTTGTTAGAGCGAATAAAGAGAATGCATACAAACCTAAGACGCATGTTGTTATCCTCGGATAGGTAGGTCCAGTTGACGTTTGGCGCCTTGAGGCCGCAAAGCTCGATGGGTGTCGTGGCCACAGAGTACCATACGCGTAGAACCGCGGCGGAACAGCCTCGAACTAGAAAAACACAGGTCGGTAAGATAAGAAATACCCATCGATTGTTAGATAAGAAATACCCTTCCTCCTTTCATGTACCTTTTTGATCACCTTCCACGGAGAACATTTCAAAGTACAACAGCACCCGCTGATTTTGACCAACTCTTATGAACCAATTGCAAGTTTTGCTAGCGTGATTTCTCGCCGGACCGTCGTACTTGTTCGGAAAGTTTGGACTGGCGATGATGCCGTAATTTAAGCTGCTTATGTTGGATCCGCAATCTGCAACCGGAGACAGATGGTAAGATTGAAATCGCTGGTCGTCGCGGGCGATAGTCATACCTCCAAATATCGGTTTAGCCACCTCGAACGTGTAGCGAGCTTTGAACCCGCTGTAAACCAGTTCCGAATCCGAATGCAGGATAACCTTTAAACCGAGAGCTCCGAGATTCGATTCGACGGGTCCCGGGGCAGTGCTGCCACAATATCTGCCGATCAACTTCTCCGTATTGTCCCGATACATGTTGTATATCTCCAGCCAGTCCTCTTGACAAGCGTCGATTCTGAAAATCCATCGAGCGAACACTGTATTCACTTCTGTGGTTGCAGAATTGCAGAGCAGAGGCAAACTTACCGCTTACTTAATCGCTGTAACGACTTACCCGTAATGCCCGTCCGTCACATTCGTGTTTTTCGTCCGCACCTTGAAGTAGTCGAATATCAAAGTGACCTGCTCGTTTGGCGTTGCCAGGAAAAAGTACGTGCAATTTGTGTCGCTCGGATAGTTGCTGGGATGTCGAGGCGAATTGAAGTCACCCTTTTTTCGGGACGAGCTGCGATAGGTGAACGTACAGCTACCATCGGGTGCCGCTGTACCCGGTATTTTGTACTCCGTCTCGAAACTGTACCTGCAACGCGTATTATCCAATTACTTGATCATTCGTATTCATATTCACATTCATATCGATTATTCGTTGGGCGTCAGCAAGCGATTACCTTGCTTTGAAGCCTTGACCCTGCGACTCGCCGCTGCTAAAGACCATAACCAGCCGCGGACCGTCGCTAACCACTTGGGTCGGACTGCTTTCGATGCCGCATAATTCGTAATCGAATTTGTCGTAAGAATCCGTAGCCTCCTGACCTTTCAAGTACAACTTGAGATATCCATCGGTGCACGACGAACTAGACGATGCAAAACAAAGAGATAATTAGTCACAGAGACAGTCGGTTTTCGTTCGTATCGCAGCATCTTATACTTACTCTCCCGTCGTCTTGTTCTTCGGTATCTTGAACGTGCTGAATTCTAGCCGGACGCGCTCCAGATGCTGGGCGTCTTGCATTCCATAAATGAAATACCGGCACACGACTTTCGGTATGTAAGGATATGGGAAGTTCGGGCTAACCACGTGCCCGGAGGACTCCTTCTTGCTCAAAATCTTTTGATCGCATTCCGATCCTCTGATGTGCTCACCCTTGTAAGCGGTTATGAAGTCTGAGTAGACAAAGACGACCGTGTACACGTACAACGAACGCACGCGTAAATACGTATATCGTGTATGATCCGAGAGCAGTGTCTACCATAGGTAACGTCAACGGTATCGGTAACGGGGCAAACGATTCGGCGAGCGTCGTTAAGACTGCTTCCGGTCAAGAGACTACATTCTTTGTTTTTTGGATCGATTGGGATTGCGGACTCACCTAGTTTGACGAAGCTTTCGGAGAACTCGAAGATTCCCTTGAAGCCTCGATTTTGCGTGTTCGCGGTACGTTTAAGCGTAACGAACGATACGAACAAACTGGACTCGGACGAATACAAGACCAAGTTTCTCTGCTGGCCGCAATACGTCCCGATAACGCCGGCCGTGCTATTCAAGCCATCGTACACTTTAACGTAGTCCAAGGGGCAGCTAAGTCCAAGGGCGGCAGAGAAGATCGCGTTCGATGAGACTGCGTTCTCTGTTTACTACTGTTTTCGCGAATTCTTTATCGAAACAGATAGAAGTAACCAGCTTATACGTACTGCGGGCCTCCGAAGAACAAGTCAAAGTCCCGAAACTCGAGGCGGACTCGTTGACTCCGTTTCCCTATAAACTGGTAACTGCACACAAGGTCTTTCGGATAGGTCCCAGGATACGTCGGAGACAATATGCTACCGCTCCGCTTGTTCTCCGAATTCACGGTAAAGGAACACGGTCTGCTCGGGGCTGGCGTTCCGACCTCGTAATCGGCTGCAAACCAACGTTTTCTTTCAATTTCTCTTTGCTTTTTCAGTTCTCCGGTTTTCATTTCTATGAATCTACGTCACCACAACGTACAGGCATTGATAAACGTGTAGACACCGCCGAACAGGCTTGGCAACGTGATATTTATGTCGGTGTAGAAACTGAAGGCGATTCCCTGATAGAGGGAGATCCGTCTTCGAGGCGGAATCGGGCCGCAGAAACGTCCTCCGAACGGTGTTTCGATCAGTTTGGTCATGTTCTCCGTGCGTATTTCCGTGTAGAAATCCATGTACTCGTGTACGCATCTGAAAATATCGATTTATATATAATATCGATTTATCAATCTATGGATATCGACAGAAAGAAGAATTCGGCGAGCCAATACTTACGCGGGTAATTCTCCGATAGCAGCTCCTCTGTAATGTCACGTAGAAATCGGATCGATCAGATTGTTATAAAGCGGAGAATCGAAAAGGAAAATATCATTTCACAGGGACACGGAATTTGTAGAGACTCACCCGGGCGGTGTTCCTCGAAGTCCAAACGAAGAAAATATCAGTTGGACCCGTTGCCGAGGTCCGGCGAAAAACGTGTAGACGCATTGCCGAGACTCACCCTCCGGATTGATCAAGAGCGGGGCGTGAAAAGTTCCATTCGGCGGACCATCCGGTGTGCTTATGAACTTCTGATCGCACTCTGCAAAAACAATAATAAGCAATAAACGACGGGTCGAACGAAAAAGCTCGTGCAAAGGTCTACTAACCTGTGCTGCTGCGAGGACAAAGCAGCAACAGCAGAACGACGACGGGCGAGATGAAGCTGATCCAAGGAGTATGCCAGAATACCGAAGCAGCCATACTGTACCCTAGGTCGTCCTAGGACATACGCGCGCGTCTTTCCATTATTGTTATTAATATCGTTGTTCTCGTTGCTATTATTATCCGGATTCTGATTGGTATCTGTATGCTTATTATATTATTATTATTATTATAATTATTATTATGCTGGTATTTCGTTTCTTCGGCGTTGTTCGCGAACCAACGCGATTACGCCGACTTTCGGCACTTTACCATGTCGTTAATCTCTGATCCACGCGCAGAAAGAATAGGAGAAATCGATCCTGGTCATGGAGGTCATCTGTAATCAGAGGCGTTACGCTGGTTATACACCGTAGATTCGTAGAACTCGTGATCGCGTTCCTGTTCCCACGAGAAAGTTCCTGAAGAGTGCACGATCGTGATGATGACCCGAGGGTTAACGAAACCCTCGAGATTTCTGCTTGATCGAGAGTTTGACCTCTCGACACGTTGGTCTCGCTTGGACTCGTTCTCGTGGAAGGCTCCGCGGCGAACGTTCAAAACACGTTGCACCATGTTCCCTCTTTCCACCGCTTTTCGGGAAGACGTTCGCACGAGGACTTTTTCCTCGAATTTGTGTTCGAATCCGCCGAGAGACCGGAGGAAAAGCAAAAGGAATGAGGGAGCATAACGCAAAATAGAATTAGACGAATTCTCCGAAAGTTTGGGAAGTAATCGTTCCGCCGCGGATCGACGCCTGCGATTTGCCACGCCCTCGACCCTCCATAGAATCTTTCCCTTACCGCACAAGTCATCCCGATCCAACGCCGCCGCTTTCGCCGATGACACACTCGAATCCGTTCGATTATTCCGCTTGCGGCGACGGTTATCCGCTTATCCGATCGTCCGGTTACCCGATCATCCGATTATCCGAGGAATCAGCGACGACAACTATAAACGACGACGCGTTAACGCGGGCCGGGCAATAATAACGCGTTCGAGTTCGAAAGCGGATCGGCCTGTTCGAACGGGAACAAGGCGATGGTCGATATCCAGCGCCGCCCCCGACGAACTGTTCCCGCACCAACAAAACCACCAGCTAACGGACTAACCTGGCTTCCATTCGGGTTGCACAACTCGCCCGATCTCGACGCCAAAGTCTCGTCTCCTTTGCTCCGCGGCCTCGTTTGTTTCGGCCTTACAAGGCCTGCGATCGACGCGGCGCTTCTTTACTCGTTCCTTCGCGCTGGACGGGTAATTCGCATCCGAAACAATCTACGAACGACCAACCCTCGAAACGATGCAAAACGTGCATCCCCCGGTTACGTGTTAGATCGAACACGGCGAATCTTCTCGCGACGACGCGTTCTTGCCGACCGATCACCGATCGTTCGTTATCTCGGAGATTTCGCGGATCTGGCGGAACTTCTTTTTTAGCCCCTCCCTCCTACGCCACTTTATCCCCCTGAAAACACGGGAGGAAACGGTGTTGGCGCCGCGTGACTAGACTAGGTCACCACCCTCCCGCGTTGCGTCGAGCAGACTTAGCTACCACGCAGCTACCACCCAACTACCACCTAGTCGCGCGACTTGCCCCGTCGTCTCAGTCTTCATCCCCATCTCCGCCTCCGTCTCGCCTTGATTATTTTTGTTCCCTAACACGGACGTGCGTTTGCCACGCTTCGTATAATATGGATCGTGCTAATATTCCTTTTGCACGAGCCTTTGTTGCACAGGTGAACGCATTCTCGTCGATAGAAATTTTAAAGGTTGTTCCTAGAGAAGTCCTAGAGAGTGATAGAGATGCAGAGAAACAAAGAGATAGAGAAGAACGTACCTGTTTAAAAAATTCAATTGTAAAGGCACGCGATATACCGCACACATACTGCGAGACGTATCCGTCGTTCCACTCGTCGAGCCTCGATCGATTAGGCGAAGTACGATCGAATAGACCTGGCATCGTAAACCGTTGATTTTCGGTAACGCGACGACGGTATTCGATGAGGCGAGGCGCGGGAATAATTAGGCGAAAAATAAACCGTACAACCGATTAAGAAAGGTAATTCACATACAACTGTTTATTGAGACATGTAGAATACATCTGGTCGTACACAAAAATCTTTGACACTTTAAATCAAGCTCCTAGCCCGAAAAAGGAACCATTTCAACATCGTTTTAAATTCATCAATAATCAATTACTTTCAACTATGTCACACTAAAATTAGAGGCAACGTTTAAAATTGCAGGAATTCAAAAAAAGCAAAGCAATTGGAGGGTGAGTGATTAAGAAAAGTTATTTGGAAACGCAACTGTCAACGATTAAGAGGATCTGGTTGTAAAGGAATTTTTTTTTCATCGTTCTTTTTTAGTTAGCCGTGGAGCTGACACGTGGCAATGTGGCGCGAGAAACATAAACCGTATATGTCTGCGTGAATAGTGTTATTACAATTTTTTTTTTGCCATTTTCTCTTGTACATCATTTTTTTTTGTAATTTCTTTTCCTCGTTAGTGCTAAATAACATCACGTCACAAAATGCATATTCGCAGCAATATAATATATAATATATTTATATATAATTAAAAAAAAAACACGTGTTTAGGTCGTTGTTAACATAAATTGACCGACCCAAGAAATCACACAACATCCGCTTGACACGGGCCAACCAAGAAGAGTCAAGATCCCCAGGATGTGATGTGCCGCGAATTAGGGCAATGACCGGGTAAAAGGGCACGCTTGCTTGCTCTCGCGGCAACAGCATCGTCAGCCACAGTAGCGCATTATCCTAAATGCGACTGATAACCCCTCCCCAGGCACCCCAGCTGCCACACCGGTCAAAGTATAAAATAGTGAAGGGGGGTAAGTGATAGAATATCGTGGGGCACCTCGAAACTGGGGCTGGGCCAATATTCGCAATGCTAGTACCTAGATCAGTCTAAAGTCTCGTCACCGTGAACTGCCTTCGCTTTTGCCAGTAATGCTTCCTTGCCCCCGCAAGCTCGACTTTACTCTCCATTTCTGCCATTTTCCGCCTTTTATCGCCATTTACTTCCTTCCATTCCTCATCCCATATCTTTCCTTTGATTCCGTCGTTTACTCTCGCTTTACGATCGCTTGCTCGAACTGCCTGTCGTTAATAATATTGTATTCATCTTCCTTTATTACAGTTTCAAAGAAAAACCAGAATTTATAGTGAAACGTTATCGTGTCGCAAAAACCCACTCAGTATGATTAGCAATATCAACCTTATCGTATCATTAATATTAATTATTTCATTATTATTATTATTAATATTAATATTATCATTATTATTATTATTATTACTATTATTATATATCCTTGATATTATGACTTTATAAATAGGGTGTGTAGGTAAGTAGAGTAGGTAGGTATAAAATACGGTAAGTGAATAATGAGTCACAGGAAAGAGGACCAAAGGAATGAAAGTTAATAGTATTGACCGGTACAGATAAGATTCGCTTTCTTTCTTCGACTGTGGCTTTTCTCTCCCCCCCCCCTTTTCACTCGCTCAATCACTCACACACTCTCTCTCTCTCTCTCTCACTCTTTCTTTCTCTCTCTCGTTCCTCTTCCTCCCGCGATCGAATCTAGTAGACAGATTCAGGCACAGCAGACATTCTACCATGTACACCCGCACAAACACACTGCCAATTTCCAATCTCTCTCTTTCTCTCTCTCCCCCCCCCCTTCTCTTTTGCCTTCCTTTGCATTCTAAAAGCGCAATGTCGCTATTCCTCGTCATTTTTTTTTAATTTTTTAAACAATGATCGCGTTACTGGGGACAGGAAGTAAAATTGGGGGTTTTCCATTGGTTACGCTACTAGGTATAGTTATTATCATCGTTACCGATATGTACCTTGTGCCGGTATTGTTATCGGTATCGAAGAAAAAAAAAAGAATTAGACTTAAGTAAAATGCGAATAAAATGTAACAAAATGTCTATAAATAACGAAAGTTTGCGACCGATCGATCGAATCGGAGACACCCTGCTCGAGAAAATCGATCGACTCGCGCGCGCTTTCATTGTTTGGGAATCGTGTTTGTTGTTGTTGTTTGGGTATGGTTCTAACAAATTGGTCTCGTCGCCCGTTTCGTTCTGTCGGCGTTCAAGAAGCGTGTCATTCGCGCGTCCATTCGATTCGCTAACCGTTGATGGAGCTATAATGGTCTATGCAGATCTAACATGATCAAATATGCTCGGTGTGAAATTTCTCGAAACCGTTCGAAATTGATCCGAAATCAGCTACGCGGCGACAAGAATGTAAACGGTGATGAGATGTGCGATCGCTCGATCTCTAACCTCGATTATACGTGCGTTGTTGTTTATGTATCGTTCTCTTTGTTTTTCTTGATTTCATCTAGTTTCTAGTTTCTTGTTCCTTGTTTCTCCATCTCTCTGTTTCCATCGTTTCCATGTTTCCATCATGTTTTTTTTTAAAATCCGATTTAACCGATGTAACCGTCGTTAATACAGGGGGTGCTTGTGAAAACTACCGGATTTTATTAGCTTGCGTGTCTCTCTCTCGTTTCCGAATATTTTCCAGAACAGGGGGTGTCTGGGCTCCAGGGACAGGGACCAACTACAGCCCGCACTTACAACTCTTACTAATTAACTAACAGACTAACAATAACAACGAGTCAACACTCAAAATGTTTGCCGTATGTGTTCATGCATTTGTAAACGTCGCGTACACGTTACGCATCCTCGAAATCAATCCGTAACTATCATTATCAAACTGGGTGGTCAGACAGTTTCGTTCAAACGAAAAAAAAAGAAAGAAATTGTACGTCCTCGCGCGCAGTAGATAGAAATTTCATGGATACGACTTTATATTGTATGCCGTTACCGTTACTGTTACCGTTGTCGTTGCCGTTCACCGTTGTCCTTTGTCGTGGATGTTGTCGTTCATGCTACCATATTTTATCGGGAGAAAACTTACGCGAAAAATAAAATTCTAAACGCATGCGAATAACTGTTCCCCTGACCGCTTTTTAACTACATTCCGCTATCTTTATCATCAACGTCGACCATAATAACAAAACAAAAAAGACAAAAACAGCCATAAACAATAAATATACTAATAATTTAGACCCTTAGTCGCGTCGCTATATTTAGATTTTCTACATACGACCGGGGGTAATAAGGTTGACTTCCTTTTTCGAATAATAATTTTGCCGCTAGAAAAACGTTATACTTTTCCCTTTTTCACAATTCCGCGTCCGATAAAGACGGTAATCCCGCTCTTCCCGCCAGCGTAAAAAACGTAACCGTCACACGTCCTAGGTTTTCAA